TATATTGCTTGTAATTGGGATGAAGTAAACATCTGTTAAGCATTTGAACATAAAATTGTTTGATTGTGTTGAATTAAACCCCCAAAATTGCAGCGGGTCCACCAGACCCGCCAACACTGGCTAAGTAACAAAAATATGAACATCACACAAGGGTTAAACTACAAAAAAATCCAAACTGGAAATGCATCTGTTTATATTAAGTAAAGTAGAAAAGATAAGTTGATTTAATTAAATTCTTTTACAATGTTTAACAGTATGCAGACGGTCATGATTTGCATTCTATACATCCTACCGACTTTACTGACCACAAGATTGACATTTGTGTGTTTTGATGAAATATCTCAATAACTATTGTATGGATTAGCGTGGGATTCAGTGTAGATGTTTCTGTCCTAGCTCTGGATGATTTGTTACAACTTTGGAATTTATAACTTTGGAGTTTTTATACATACATACATACATACATACATACATACATACATACATACATACGTGTGTGTGTGTGTGTGTGTGTGTGTGTGTGTGTCTGTGTGTGTGTGTGTGTGTGTGTGTAGGTGTGTGTGTGTAAAGAGTTCATTTGCAAAAACAGATAACTCCATTTTTGTAGATTTTCAGAAAGCTTATTTTTTTGTTTACTTGAGATAATATCAGTCAAGTGGATTTGACTCCGTAGAATTGACATGACAAAAATAGAGATAACTCAGGTTTGATTGATATTGTCTCAGGTAGACAATGGAACAGTGGGTTTTCTGAAGGTTTGTGAAGATGGAGTTATTTGTTTTTGCAAATGAACTCTTCATATGACTATAATATGTAATAATGTAGGTCTACTACATAATCATGCTAATAATGTTGGTATGCAAACACACTAAACTAAAACAGTGAACATGAGTAACATGACGCCTCCTAGATGTCAACATGTTGTAGTTGTTAGCATTTACCTCAAAGCATTGCACTGTTTACAGTGCAGCCTTAAAAACACCCTGCTAGCGTGGCTGTAGTGTTGTAGCCTTGCGTCTCGGCTTTCTAGTCACATTAAATGTATAAAAAATCCTGCTCAAACTACCAACCTCAGCTCTCATCCACATTTGACGCAATCATTTTATAACCCTCCAGTGTTATCCAAAGCTGAAGAGCCTATTTGTTCTTCATTAACACCATAATGCAGTGTGAGAAGGCCTGCAGTGAGGAGTTAACGCTGTTTGATCTATGAATGTTTATGTAACCTGGGGCTTGAGGTCAAGGACACAATGTTCTTCTGTCCGCTGGATCCCTGCAGTGGATTACACGAGGAATTAAATGCACCAGTTAAAACCCACTGACATTAACCTCTGACCTCTAGCAGTTACACTGTACGCCAGACGGACTGAAATGTCAGCAGTCTGTGGGTCACCAAGAGATCAGATCAGGTGTTTGCCACTGAGACGACCTGCTAATTCAGGGCAGTGCAGGCTGAGCCGACTTCACAGCAGTGCAGCCTTCACAAAGCCCCCAGTTCACACAGACTGAAATCAGTTTCTGGAGGCTTTGTAGGACATTAAAATCCAGTATGGGTTAGGGAAAACCGGAGAAGCTGCATGAGACAGCTGAGCAGGGAGTGACTCACGCTGCTGGGTCTCATGGCGATCTTGTGACTGTTTACTCCCACCCACTCTCTTATGTGGACGCATCCCCTGTTCCCCCCTCCCCTCCAAGAACAGGACATCCCCGGGGGATGCATGGCAGAGAACATAGTATTAACCTGTCACTGTAGATACCAGAATATGGCCTTTAAAAAGCCCCTGACAGCTGATTCTACCCCCCTCTTTCAGAATCCTTCCAGCGTCATCGCCTGCTTGACACACATTTGCAGTGACTGAAGTACAAACACACCGAAATCAATTCAACCCCACACATAAATTAGAGGTGAACGTGAAGCTTTTGATCCCGCTAATGGAAACAGAGAAGGATTGTGTTGTGGTGAATGGCCTGGTTTCAACTGACGGGCGAGTTAGCAGGTCTATTGAGCTTCTCTGTTGCATCAGAGGGTGAAACGTCTGGAGGAGCACATGGAATGAGATGAATGTGAGAGAAAAATGAAGGGGAAAAAAAAAAAAAACAGCAGCACTATCAGTGAAAGGAATTCAACATTCCTTCATGTTACAACAAAGTCAAAGACTCTTATGTAATACCAGCTTTCAAGTAACACTTTTTTGTGTATCTTTTTGTTCTGGCTTCAATAGCTGCCATCACACTGGCAAAGAGAAGCCGTGTCTGGAGAGTGGCTACCCTTGAGATTCACACAAGTACATGAAGCTCAATAAAAAACAGAAACATTGCAAGACAAAACTGAATGAATTTTGTCTAACGCCTTAAAAGAATGAATGAATTCTCCACCAGTTTAGCTTCTATGATATTGTGTGTTTTGACTCAAAATGGACAGTTTGAAAAAGCTCAACCAGAGATAGTGTCGTTTTTTTTCTTCCATATATTCTTCTACCCTTGAAATCTGCCTTCTGCGTTACCCACAATGCAACTGGGGCACTGACAGTCCAGTAATAGATTAAAGGTTGAAATGCTTTCAGGGGCTAATGTAGCCTCAAGCCTCTAACTTTAAGCCAAGATAGCCAGATTTTGTTTTTATTTTCAAGCTCAAAGTCTTCAGTGCCAACTGTTGGCTTATGTGCAGCCTTACAAGTAACACATTGTAAAGTAATGCATTACTGTAACTGCATTACATTCGACTGTAATGCAGTGATGTAACACATTACTGTGTCTAAATTCAGTATTTATATTACAGTTACTAATGAGTTAGAGCCGCTATTTTTATTTTGAGGGTTTGATGGTAAAGCCTCGTCACCACATCTTTCTCTGAAGTCATCTTTGGGCTGGTTTTCTCCAACTTTGCTGTTGGCTTTGTGGTGATACATTATCAAAGATTTTGTGCTTGTCCTCTTTATTAAGTTAGAGATATGTGAGCACATGTAAGGTTTAATGATACACTGTCAGCTAGTAATTAGGTGACAAATCATCTCAGGTGACGTTGAGGACTTATGCAAAGTTATGTAACCAGTAATGTAGTGAATCATGTTGTACAGGGAGTAAATAAGTGACACAATGCATTGCATGTTTTTAAAAAGTAACAAGTAATTAATTTTTTTTGAGAAAAAGTACTTGTGACAAATTGTTTTTTGAGTAATGTGACATGAAGTTTACAGTTTTAGAGCAGCTCTTTGTGGCCATAAAGGCAACAGTCTTTTTTTTCACATCATTGCTCCCTAATAACAGACACTGACGAGTAACATCAGCAGAGTTCCACTTTAAATGACCCTTTAAAAGTTTCTTGGGATCTATTAGAGTGGCTCCGACCCCACAATAAATATAATAGTGATCTTAAAGTCGACTTAGCTCAAAATGTCCAACAAATGTGATATAATTTTTTTTTATTGCAATTTTTTGATATTGCAACTGCAACAATAGTGCCTCTTCATTTGCACAGTAAAGGTATAGTGATTGTAATAGTATTCATGTGTTACTTTAAATCTATATATTCTCTATACCTTTTGTATATTCGGACTTCTTATGGAACAGAACTTACAATAAATATTCTGTCAATTCACCTAAAGCTGCAGAACAAAACAAAGAGCTCATATTCAACACTTTGTTTTTTTTTGTTCAAAACTCACAAAATTAATGCTTAAAAGTTTCAAATGAATGTAAATATATAACAGTAAACTACATTATTTACTTTGTTGGTGTGTTTGGCAACTTACAAATGACATTTTTGTAGCCTTCCCCAGGCTGGGCATCTTTTACTCCTTAAGGAATCAGAAAGCTGATTATCAGCTTAGTTTTCACAGGTGGAAACATTAAGCAATGGCACAATGTGTGTGTTTTTTACTGCAAATTTGAGATTCAAAGAATAAAAAGCAAGAAGCATTATTTATCTAATTGTGTTACTTACTAACTTTTTGCTTTAACTGCAGGTCCTGCATGTACTTTTATAGTGATTTTTTCCATATCATTTGGCATAAAGGGATGAAAGGACAATAAGAAGGGTCCATATGCTACTGTGTTTTTACAATTAATATAGATTAGGAATCTAGACCGTTTCAGTTCTATGCCATCTTTCATGTCATTAAAATATATAGCCCTGGCTTAATTTACAAAATTTTTCCATGTTCTCCAGAAAGACATCAGTGAGCTCCTGCAGCACACCTGTGTTCTGAAGTCTAAAAAACAAATGAATGCCTTCCTTGTGAACAGACAAAACCTTGGATAAGCCTTTATTCTGTTAGAGTAGCCTCTCAGCTATCTTTTCCCTCGAGCCCCAACAGTACAGGTACTGTGTTGTCAGGGAGTCCTCTGAGAGGCTGAACGCTCTCTCCCTTACAGTGTGTGCCATCCTCCTCTTTCATCTCTGTGAGAAACGTTTGACCACGTTTTACAGCATCCTGTTGACTGATATGCTGTCATATTCTAGTGTATTTCTGAAAGAAAGAAAGAAAGAAAGAAAGAAAGAAAGAAAGAAAGAAAGAAAGAAAGAAAGAAAGAAAGAAAGACCTGTGTCCCTGATAACACTGGATGCATCATTACTGGTATCTTCAGAATGTGACCACAGATGATAACAACTAATTTAATACCAAACCCAAAACACGTATCTGAAAGGGGGATTTCAAATCAATTCAGAGACAGCTATTTTCTGCGCCTAATTCAGTTTTAATGTTTCTTTCATTCATGTTGTGCTTCTTTGATGATTATCTGTCATCTCTTTTCTGCTATCTGTTGCTGTAATTCGGATATGATCACCTTCACAAGTGAAAGATCATCATTTCTGGTCTATTGCCTGACGTTTGCTGACATCGTGAACTGCTTCTCTTATTTTGTCAACTTCTTTGTGTGTGCAGATCTGCTCTTGTTGATAGCCACACTGCCTCACTGTCTCCAGAAGTCTGCAGACTCAGCTTCTTTGTTTTCTGGTCACTGCTGCTCTCTGGTGGAGTTATGCTCACACAGTAGAGAGTGGTACAAAAGGAAATGACAATCTGTTGGTCAGAGAAAAATAAAAATTTAGCTTCATAACATGGCATAGAATTACTGAAATTACTGGAAATCATAAGTAGCTTTTCCTTCATCTCTGTTTAGTAATGGAGGAGTCAGATCATTTTATTAAGTAAAAGGAGTTATAGTATGTAAAAAAAAATCTGATCGGATAAAAAATATGTAAAACTAATGCATCAAAAGGAAGAGCACCCATGAAGCTATGCAGAATGGACCCAAAGTCTTCAAATGTCCCACACTATAATATTGATTAGAGTGTTATTATCAATGCATAGACAAGTGAGCAGCATTTCAAGGTAGCAGTAATAGCTGCTGGGTTGCTGACCTTCACTCTTCACACGGGGAGAACATGCAAACTCCACGCAGAAAGACCCCAGGCCGAGATTCATACTGAGAACAAACCCCCATTTGAAACAGAAACTCAAGTGTTAATGGCTCCTACAGAATATAAGTATCTGGAACTCCCAACTAGTCAGTCAGAACTGATGAAACCTCTTGGATGTGAGTTGAAACGTCTTCAAGAAACTCAAGCAAGTCCAGCTGCTACGATTAAACTATGAGAATAACCATGACCTGGATGACTGAGAATCTTCACAGACATGCTGAGGACCCTCTAGCTGTGAGGCAACAATGCTCAGAAAACAGCCCAAGAAGTGTTCCTATATGTAGCTGGAGTGTCTGAAAAACGAACTCAAAGCATACTGTTGCACTTTAAACCAAGCGATGCTCTGGGACTGGTTCACCCTAAAGATAAAACACCCCCAAAACAAACATTTACATACATTACAATGAAGCAAGGACAAACCTATACGTAGGGGAAATTAAACAACCGATCCAAAGGTGCATGGCATAAAACTGCAATGAAAAGATAAGGGACGCTCTTTTGAGGACATCACATTCTGGACATAGAAGAGAGAGCACCAAGGGAGGACATCTCCTAACAGAGGAGGAAGTCTACTACAACACTTATCAGGTACTTATAATGCATCCTGAGAGACTTTCACTATCATCAGGGTCATGTGAGTCTTGAGTATTTGATGAACTGTGGGTGAGAATAATTTCCCAACTATAGAGCTGAGGAAGCCTCTTGGATTAGAGGTTTTCAAGAACCAAAAAGACTGGTTTAGTTGCTTTCTACTGAGGGATTACTCTGACCTGGATGACTGAGAGTCTACACAGACTTACATACACCTACTTTAATTCTATTTCACTTGTGATTTTGTGTGAACGAAGATGTTTTCGGCACTATTCCTCGAGGATGGCATGGTTTTGAGGACAACGTGGTGTCCCCGTGTGCTTCTTTAAATCGCTGCTCTTCGTGTCTGTAGTGGTGACGTGTCTCTAAAGTTTCTCCTCCTCCTTCTGCCGGCGCTTCACATAGTGAGACTGACTCCGGTCTGATTTACACTGAGAAGCGGCGTTTAAGTAGACAGCTGGGAACAACATGGGCAGTGAGTATCACCTGGGCGAATGAGCTGTGTGACTGTGATATCTATAGTCCGTGTAGCGAAGCCGAATATGTTGTTTTATCTGTTTTGCACAACTTGGTTAGCTGACGGTGTTAGCGTTGGCTTTGATAGCAGGCGGCTAGCCGCTGTTGCTAGCTAGCTGCTTTGGTGACAGTTTGCTTTTGTACTACCACGAACTATTTCTGATAAGAGGTTATTCGTGGATACGGTGTAATATCTTGACGGAGGGTTTTACGAGCTGGATATCCTGCCCGTGGTTCAGTCACAGAAGCGACACGGTGCATCGAGTTGGCTGGAAACCTCCTGTTAGCTAACTTGTTAGCCACTCATTCAAAGACACTGACAGTCTAGTGATGACGACGCATAACACAACCGGTGTTATCTCGAGTCTGATGTCGCTGTAATCTGATTAATACTACTAGAAACACGTGATAGAGACAGCGTGGTGGTGTAGCAACACGACTGGAGACATTAAGATGCAAAATCCTTTTATTTGACATCCAATCTGTTGAGTCTTGGCTATTGTACGTTCAAAGCTGCCTTGAGTCCGCCCCCCATTCACTGCCACGTCCCATTGAAGACCAGCTATTACCTCAAGTTAACTTGTGTTTGCTTGTTTCCAGTCAAATTCTTGGAGGTGATAAAGCCGTTCTGTGCAGTGCTGCCAGAGATCCAAAAACCAGAAAGAAAGGTGTGTATTTTAACAACATCTTCAGTTAAATAGTACAGTTGCATGTAGAAGTACATGAGCTTTGTGTTGATTTGGCTTTAGCTGCCTCGTTAAGCTTCTCTCAATGTGTTTGATCAACAGATCCAGTTCAGAGAAAAGGTGTTATGGACTGCCATCACTCTTTTCATCTTTCTGGTGTGTTGCCAGGTAAGTGTCCGTCTTAATTACTGTGTGTATTTTCACATAAAGCGGTTGCTCGATTGTTTGATGCTTTTGTTAAGAAACAAAACAAAGTGAAAAATGTGACTGACTGTAATCATCAATTGTAAATAGTCGTGCAAATTTGATTGCGATATTTATTAGTTTGCACTTAGGACAATAGAAATGCTATTTGAAATAAAAATGCAAGGTTTCATTCATATGTTCTACATATGCTAGAGTTATATTTAGGCTTAATTAATTGTCATTACTTGTTCAGTTATTTTTAATGATCATTTTGTGCCCAAGATGTTCCAAAATTAGACAATTGCTATGATAGCAAAATTGTGTCTAAATATGGATTCAATCCAAAAACACAAAGAAAAATCTTCACAATGATATATTTTAAAATGCAAGCAATTCTTTCTGTTCAAAAATCTGCAATTCAGCAATGATTTTTGAGGTTTTACATAATTAAATGAACAGATATTGTCATTGAACAATAGTTTGATTAATCAACTAATCATCATGACTGACTGAAATGAAAGTAGCACTGTGCAGTATGTTCCTGTGTCCACATTAATGCCCAACAGTCAAGCTGAAGACAGATTTGTACACAGTGTTATGAATTGTAAATGAAAGACTTAGAGTAAGGCTTGCAGAGAAAACCTTATTTTACACACCCAATAGTTCATAGAGACAAAACGTATTAAAATCAAAAAATAACATTTTCCAACACTGTGTTAAAACTCTGCTCCTCCAGATTCCCCTATTTGGCATCATGTCCTCAGACTCTGCAGATCCCTTCTACTGGATGAGAGTAATTCTGGCTTCAAACAGAGGTATTTGTCCTGCTAATATTGAATAAAACAAAAAAAAAACATGTCTGCTGTCCTGCTTGTGTGTCCTAACTTTAACATCTCCCTCCAGGTACTCTGATGGAGCTGGGTATCTCGCCTATCGTCACCTCAGGCCTGATAATGCAGCTGCTTGCTGGAGCGAAGATCATTGAAGTCGGAGACACACCAAAGGACAGAGCTCTCTTCAATGGAGCTCAGAAATGTAAGTGGACTCTCATCACGTGGTTATTGCGTATAGGTTCTCACAATTCAAATCCTTTGGTTCCCTGACCTCTGGTAATGTTTGCAGTATTTGGGATGATCATCACCATTGGCCAGGCTATTGTATACGTGATGACTGGCATGTATGGAGATCCGTCAGAGATGGGTGCAGGAATCTGCCTGCTCATCATCATTCAGGTGGGAACAGGAAAAATGTCTTCAAATGTGTCATAAATGATTTTGTAATTTTTGAGAATATGTAAACTAGCTTCTAGTGTGTGCTTACAGTTAAAGTGTTACGATGTTATAAAGAACATAATATAGAACAAAGTAATGCATGTGGATTGCAACTACTGCTGTCCTTGTGTGTGGTTTTAGAATTAAGCCCTGTGTTAGTTTAGATCAATATCAGCTTCTTTGCTTATCCAAAGTTCTAAAGCAGTGATTTATTATTGCAGACGTGATCCACATGTTGATGTTGAGCGTTATACAAGTCATGATCAAACGTATGATTCTCCTTGAGATAAAAGGTGTGACGGTGATATTACTTATTAAAAACAAGAACTGTATCACAAAGAAACGTGTCATTATGTAAAATTTAAAAAAAAAACAACAACAGATGGTCATTGTTATTGATTCCAATCAGAATTACTTGACCAACAGCAGTGTTTCCCATTAATTACCTAGACTGTGGTATATAATTTGCCCTGCCCCAGTTTCATAATTACCTAAAATTTTTGCTTGTACAGACACTTGATGGCTGATTACAGAAACCTGATCACCTCTGTGTGCATGTACCTTACTGTGACTTTGATTTTAGATTAATGTTATTTACTCACAAAGTAAAATATACTCTAGTGGAGTTGGTGGTGATCGCCTCGTACGCACAGACAAACTTTATTGAAAACATATGACCTAACGTCTTGTCAGGATCAAATGTAATGCTACAAAGAGATGTGCATTCATAGCAAAGAGAAACATTTTCACATGACCGTGTCAGTGCTTTTCCAGCTGACTGGAGCTGTTGTGTTCTTCTGTAGCTGTTTGTGGCAGGTCTGATTGTGCTTTTGCTGGATGAGCTGCTTCAAAAGGGCTATGGTCTCGGTTCAGGGATCTCACTGTTCATTGCTACAAACATCTGTGAGACAATCGTCTGGAAGGCCTTCAGCCCCACCACTGTGAACACCGGAAGAGGTAAGAGACCACAAATTGGTCTGTGAATGAGTGGTTTTAGTCTTTGAAAAAGGCAGTCCACAGAAATGTTTGTAATTTTTGTGACATTTTGTGTTTTCAGGTACGGAGTTTGAGGGAGCAATCATTGCTCTTTTCCATCTGCTTGCTACAAGGACAGACAAAGTGCGAGCTCTGAGAGAGGCCTTCTACAGACAGAACCTGCCCAACCTCATGAACCTCATCGCCACAGTGTTTGTTTTTGCTGTAGTGATATACTTTCAGGTGGGTTACTATTTTTTTGTTTGTTTATTTTTTACAAATGTGAAACTACTTAAGTTTAAAATAAGAATTGTTAATAGTCAGGATGATGATTTTATCCTAAACATTTACTTCTTCTCGCAGGGATTCAGGGTGGATCTGCCCATCAAATCAGCTCGCTATCGCGGCCAGTACAACACCTACCCCATCAAGCTGTTCTACACCTCCAACATTCCCATCATCCTGCAGTCTGCCTTAGTCTCCAACTTGTACGTTATCTCCCAAATGCTTTCCACGCGCTTCAGTGGCAATTTCCTGGTTAATCTGCTCGGAACGTGGTCTGTAAGTATACATTTATTATGAGCTTTTCACACACCTTTCATTTCACGGTCTTTAGGTTTTGTGTTGCTGGCTAATGCCAGTGATCAAAAAGCTATTACAGTTTTCATGACCGTCTTGCTATAGATATACCTTTACTGTGACTTCATTTATTCTAAAAATTAACCCTGAAGTGTGTATTTTGGGTCTTTATGGTTTTTTATTTAAGCCCTCACCTCCCTGGTGTTTCGCAAACTGTCTTTATTGGGGTTATGCTATCGTGTCCATAATCAATTAAAAAAACATAGATTTTTTTTGATGGTTTTCTCACGTTTCGCATTTTGAATCAGGTTATAAATAGAACTGAAGAATGAAAATGATATGGCTCTTAATGACACAGTGGTTAGGATACCATCCAATAAGCAGTTTGAAGAAAAGATAGAAAATGAGAGAATCTTATGTTGTTACCTCAGTCTGCTTCAGCCTTGCTGCTCGAAGCATCCTTTTTTTTTTTTTTGATGTTTTATTTTAAATTTCCACCTTGTAAAGCCAGAAGATCACAGAACCCTTCACTGTCCAGAAACACTGTGACCTTTAGTTTTTGTGGATATGACAGGAGAAAAGGAAGCTTTTTGTTTTCCCAGTAACAGAACAGCTTCTTTTAAAGAATGCCTACAAAACAGCTAGAAATGCCACGCTGTCCATCCACACGTTTGTGTTTGTATTACATTATGTGGTTAAGGCCATGCCTGTGCACATAGTTAGCAACACTCAGAAACCTGGATAAGATGTTGAGATATGGTAGTATTTTGATTTCTTTCAGAGTACCACAGCTGGCATTTTCAGGTTTCGGAAAGCTGGGATAAGGGCTTATCTGGCTCTGAAATCAGGATATATTGTTTATACACAAAACAAAAACACATGCTGCTTTGAGAACCTGATCATACATTTAGACACAGATTGGTTATAGGCTGCAGGGTGGTAGCACTGTTGCCTCGCAGCAAGAAGGTTGCCGGTTCGCGTCCTGGTGGGGGCTGGTGGGGGTGTGGAGTTTGCATGTTCTCCCCGTGCAGGTTCTCCGGCTTCCTCCCACACAGTCCAAAAACATGTTGAGGTTAATTGGTGATTCTAAATTGTCTAAATTGTGAATGTGAGTGTGCTTGGTTGTCTATCTTTAAGTGTAGCCCTGTGATAGACTGGTGACCTGTCCAGGGTGTCCCCTGCCTTCACCTTAAGTCAGCTGGGATAGGCTCCAGCCCCCCCGCAATGCTAGTGAGGATTAAGCGGTGTATAGATAATGGATGAATGGATGGATGGTTATAGGGACCTAGGTATAAGATAAGACAGTAAAATCACGAAATATAACCATGTATACTAAGATACATTAATGAATTCAGGAAAAAAAATACACTTTTTTTTTTTTTTTTTACATCTAGAGATGACTTTCAAATTTCATAAATGACAAAAATAGATTTTAGTGTGTTTTATTAATGTAAGTAATTGGTTATGACTACTTATGACTTGAGTGACTTTACATTTTTGTTAGCCTTAGATAACAGAACATTTTTCTTCTGTGTGTTGCAGGACACGTCGTCTGGTGGCCCAGCACGTGCCTACCCTGTCGGTGGACTCTGTTACTACCTCTCCCCTCCTGAGTCATTCGGCTCTGTTCTAGAGGATCCGGTCCACGCAGTCATCTACATTGTCTTCATGCTCGGCTCGTGTGCCTTCTTCTCCAAAACCTGGATCGAAGTCTCCGGCTCCTCTGCTAAAGACGTAAGTCATAGCTGCTTACTTGCAGCTGATGTCATTGGTTTATTTCAAACAGCCTTTGTGATATAGTTTGTTTCTGTGCTCTCGTCCAGGTGGCAAAACAGCTGAAGGAGCAGCAGATGGTGATGAGGGGACACAGAGAAACCTCAATGGTCCATGAACTGAACAGGTAAAGTCAAAAAAAATAGTTACAGGCCATTTTTATTACTCATTAGCTACACAACCCAAAAAAGTTATACTGAAACAAACAAGTTCAAAGTGAGAGAGGCTGTATCACACTGAAGTCCAAATGTTTGGAAATTTTTGGAGCAATAAGCTGCAGGTATTGCACATCCTAAAGTTTTGAGAAATATGTAAAGAATTTAGCCTTACAAATCCAGATGCTGTGTGCCTGGATAATTTTGGAAAAGCACATCCTCTTAAACAAAAGTTATTTTAAGCACAAGACATTTAGATGTATTGCAGCAGAAAGGCACAGGTATGCATACTAAAATTATTATTGGCTAGGTTCCATGTATCTGCTCTGATTTCAAGGTCCTGATATTATAGATGCTGGTTGACTGTCACACTGCCAGGGCTTATGGGAACACTAAAGCTACACAAAGTTATTGTAAATGATCATATTAATACCTGTGCTATTATTCCTAATTCCTTAAAAGACCTATCACTCAATCGTTTCCCTATTTAGTTGATCTATTGGTCCAGTATGTACCTCAGCAGGTTCAAAGAATGGCATCAGTAAATCATTGCTGCCTGAGAAAATATTGATCTACATCAAATTATTCATGTCAGATGAAAATTTAATTTGAGGGTCAATTTTATGTCTGTTTCAAAGTTTTTCCACCGTATATCACGGCTTTGGTGCCAATAAGATGTCATCATTTTGAGTTAAGATCGTTTTGTCACACAATCTGACACCACGCTCTAAAATCGAACCTCCATGCTTATATACTGTATATGTCAATATATACTTTTTTATCTTTAAGTAAGACTGAAACCCTTTGTTTCTTTACAATAACAGAGAAAAGTGGAAAAGTTAATTATCTTGCTGTGTTACACAAATTATGAATAGAGCAACAGTACAAGTATGTGACTATGTCTCTTATTGCTGATGTTATTCTCAATTTTATGCAGCCTTTGCTTGTGCAACTTATGCACAGTTAAAGAAATTGTTTTTGGATAATGTTTTAGCTTCCTTCAGGTTAGCCCTCTCCTCTTGTTGTCATGCTAAGCTTACAGGCTACTAGCTTAATCCTTATCTTTAAAAGACCGATAAGAGAATGGTTATGATGTTCTCATCTAACTCTCACCAAGAAAGCAAATAAGTCTATTTCTGAAAATGTTGAACCACTCCTTTAATCACTACTCCACAATCAACATGAATGTTTTTAAGTAGCTGCTATTCTTCTATTATCTAAGTCTCCTGTTTTGATTTTCAGGTACATTCCCACTGCTGCTGCCTTTGGTGGTCTGTGTATCGGTGGGTTGTCGGTGATGGCTGACTTCCTTGGAGCCATCGGCTCCGGTACCGGTATCCTGCTAGCCGTCACCATCATCTACCAATACTTTGAGATCTTTGTGAAAGAACAGAGCGAAGTAGGAAGCATGGGAGCCCTGCTCTTCTAGAAAAGCCATCATCCTCCCACTGTCTACCAACTTTTATTAGGGTCACCAACCTTGCATTTATTTTACGTCCATGTGAAGCCCCTGCATCATCAGCTCTGCGATTTCAGGACGTTTGAGGAACCTTCAGGAATCTCAGCTGAAATAGGATGCTGCGAGGTGGGGGACTACATGCTGACATTCTCATCATTCGCTCCCCCACATATCATCCAAAGTGACACAAAGACCATCACTTCAGCCATACTTCATCAGATTTTCTACCTGACAAGAGATTACAGCTCTGCAAGATTTACTTAAAGGTTTCTTGCAGGAGTTTGGTCTTTTTTTTTTTTTCAGACTGAGAAGCGAGCGCTTCAGTATGCAGGCATACTTGATTTGGATTATGGCGGTCAACTGCCTGCTGTGTGCTTAGTGTTATCCTAGGTTCTACTTTTACTTTCAGCTTTATTTTATTTTTCTGTTAACCTGCCATTCATGTGAAGGTGTGGACCAGAAGCTGAACTGTCAGACGCTGAGTCAAGTACTGTAAATGTTCTGGATTTGTGACCCTGTATTATTTGTTCAGGGTTCTGTAAGAAGAGGATGTGGAGCTCATATTGGGTTCCAGCTTCAAAAGATAATTTTTGAACAGTCATCCAGTAAACCATTCAAAACAAGGGTGCTTGTTGTTTTGATGTATAGCATTCCCAGGGAGCTGCAGTATTAACTCACAGTCACATTCATTCTTATTGCCCACCTAAGAGCTTTTTTGTTTTTTTAATTGTCTGCTCTATGTATACTTTCACTAATGATGTTTTCAGAGAAACTCTGATCTCCTGTACATAGGCCATTCATTAAATAACTTTGAATTTGTCTTAAGTGTAAGATAAAGTCTTTGAATATGTAAAGATAAATGCATTTCAGAACAAACTTATATAAAGAAACATTCTCAATAAAAACTTTTTTGGAAAAAGTCTTTCAGTTTTGATTGGTTGCTTTTGTTGTGCTTCCATTTAATATTTAGTAATGTGTGTATTTAGCCAACATGTTTTTTATGACTCTTGGTAATGTTAACTAATGCTTTTCTCAGTGTGAGCTTCACTAACTTCAGTCAAGTGTTCCTTGGGGAAGTATTTGAGTGATTTTATTTTATTTTTTATGTTGGAAATGGTCAGATTGAAAACAGGTCAGAAGTCACAAGCCAGTAGCATATCATGTCTCTAATGCATACAGTTAATACGTTTGTTAATGCTGCATGTGGAGTGTTGCCCCACTCGTCCTGAAGCACCTCGAGAAGTTGATATTCTGGTCAAGAGGATCACGTTTCTGGACACATTCATTGAGAGCTGTCTGAAAGAGATGACAAATAGGAGGGTGGGCATAAAAGATCCTGATTACAGCACGAACCGACGCGTCAGCATTCCATCATGTCAGCGGCCTGTTCTCATCTTCCTGTTGTCAGCTGCGGCAAGGGGTCATTTAAATAAAGTTGCATTTTAAGGTGACTTTTTTATCGTCGTTCAAACGAGTGTCTGTATACTTGTCTTACTATCTGATCATCTTTAAAAACCACACCTGGCTGTCGATTAACTCAATGGAAGAGAAGGAGTCACTGGTTAACTAGCTCAGAAGGTTTTTGTGCACAATAGGAATTCAACTTTTAGTTTTTTCTCTTGAGTCAGAAAAGAAGACCATTTCCAAGCTGCGTTTCTATTTTTGTGCAATTGACCAGGTAAAGTCATTTTTATTGCATCTTATGTATATGTATGAAACAAGCGCATTCTTATAAAAATGTGTTGATATAGCATCTGTTCAGAAAGTAAAAGAGAAACAGCAAGCATTTCTCATTTTCTTTAACCCTTCATAGGGCACTCCTTGAAATACTTGGACAATGAAAATTTCAACCCTAGGGTGTTATTGAAGTATATCTCAAAATATTTTTACTTTTGACTTACTTGCTTTGAACTTTAAAAAAAAAAAAAAAAGATGAGTGAAGTTACCATATATGGTAACTTGCCTGTCTATGGTTAAAAAAGGGGAATTTGTAATAAATGCAAGAAAAAGTAACAAACTGCAAAAAAAACATTTATTTAGAAACATTTTAGTTTGAGGTAATGATACGTACACAACCAGTAACAAAGTATTTATAAATTGCTTGGCAAGTTCATTTACTAACACTTTTCTTGGGGTAGTGGTACTGGCACTAATCTCAACAAATAACCATGCAAACCAGTAACAAAGCATTTATAAAGTGCCTGGATAATTTGTTTAGTGACATTTTTCATAAGGTAGTGATAGTGGCACTGATATAAAAACTAAATCAAACTGCACATGGTTCTTCAACCTCAAAGAGAGGCACAGGGTGGACACATTGAATGTCCAAGGAAGTTACCAAATGTGGTCACTTGCCCCATAAAGGGTTAAAAGCCCAGCATGTGTGAAGTGACGCTGTGGGGGAAAGGCTGTATTGACATATGTGGCCTGTAGGGGGCAGCAGTGCGCACCGCACATTCAAAGCTGCCGGCAAAGAAGAAGAGGACCTCATTCTCCAGCAAGGATAGTTGTGAAACAGCGTCCTGATGATGGAGCTCACAGTGATGGACTGAGAGCTGTCACATGTTTATTTTCTGTGTTGTTTGTCAGTGAGAGTCCTCGGAGTGCTGTCAGCTGCTGCCGTGAATCAGAAGGAGGAAACTTAATCCACTCCGGCGTGAAGAAATGAGCTCGGTCAGAGAGGAAGGTAACATGCTGTGCTAGCCGGCTAGCCTGTCTGAGAGCTCTCACTCAAGTTTAGCTCAGCCTGAAGGAAGAATGAATGTTGGCAAAATGATAACGTGTATTAACAACAGTCCTCTTGCTAAAAATGTGAAGTAAGACTGTGGAAATGCGTAGCTGCGTATCATGAGGGAACACGAGTGTGAGTACCTGTAACCATCACACAGTTTAACCTTGACCAGGAACCAGCTGCAGTGCAGGAGGCCTCAACATGCTGTTTAATACACTATTTACTTACTTTATATATTTTACTCATCTGAAGATGTTCGTCATAGAAAGCCGCTCTGACTGTCAAAGTTTTGGTTCAGTACTTCTGCATTTGTTTAAGTACTTTACTTATGCCCTAGTTTGAAGTACTCGTACTTTACTTACATTTCGCATTCATTTTCATTTAAATCCTTTAAATTTCGAAGCAAAATTTAATGTAAGATTTAATGTAGCATTTCAGGAGTTCCTACTTTCAGCATGGCAGCCATTGGACTAAAACACTATATTATGTAGTTAAAGACTCTTCTGATTAAAATCAAGGTTTTGGTCTTGTTAATACATGCCCATATGCTGTTTATTATGAGCTGGAAGACACATGATGAGCGAAATGAGCAGTCAATTATATGATTGAGTGTGCTGATGACCTCAAAAACATGTATTCAGACTTATAGGTTTTAACTTGACATGTTGACTTGCTGGGTGGGGTAAAAATGTATGGCTCATTAACTCCAGTAGGGCTGCAAGGTGGCTCGGTGGTTAGCTGCTAGAAGGTCGCGAGTTCGTGTCCCGGTGAGGACACCCGGGATCTTTCTGTGTGCAGTTTGCATGTTCTCCCTGTGCAGCATGTGCTCTCTCCAGCTTCCTCCCACAGTCCAAAAACATGTTGAGGTTAATTGGTGATTCTAAATTGTCCGTAGGTGTGAATGTGAGTGTGCTTGGTTGTCTGTCTCTAAGTGTAGCCCTGTGATAGACTGGTGACCTGTCCAGGGTGTCCTCTGCCTTTGCCCTAAGTCAGCTGGGATAGACTCCAGCCCCCCACGACCCTAGTGAGGATTAAGTGGTGTATTAATAATAGATGGATGGATTAACTCCAGTATTGCCACAGCACCAGACTTGTAGGTGAGCTGGTGAGCAAGTGGTGAGGTGTGGGTGAGAGACAGGTGAAGACTTGATAGATCTGCAGGTTCTAGAGGAGGTAGTGTAGTGTTACATACACTTAATATGCTTCTCATAAGTACAATATTTTTTTATGATCTTCTTATCTGTTCTAGTTTTTTTAATAATAGGCCCATATGTAAAATGTAACAAAAAATAGTGTATAAATCACTATTACATATTTCGTCTCCCCAGAAGGTCTTTAGATTTCTGGTTTTGTCCACCAGACATTCCAAAATATCAAAACAAATCCAAAACATTTTCAGTTTACTTGTGAAAATATAAATAATGTTAAACATGATGTGAAAAACGAACATTTTTGAATCAAAGAAGCTTACTTTGTTGATTGAATAATTGATCAATTACCTAATTGTTTTAGCCCTCCATACCTTATGTTTTTGATTCATTGAACAAGCTCATTGTTTAAACATCACAATTCATTGAGATGTCTGCTAGAATATGCACACAAGTGCCTTAATAATGTATTGTAATGTGTCTTTGTCAGCTTCCACTGATAACTTCTTTGCAATGGCTTCAACTTTACACAACAGGTAAAGACAAAATCATCTTTGTCACCAAAGAGGATCATGAAACACCCAGCAGTGCTGAGCTCATGGAGGAAGATCCCAATGACCCGTATGAGGACCGAGGTGAGGAGGAGTAAAACTACCAGGAGCAGCCTGTCATCAGGCTAAATAGTAGCTCTGGTGGATTTTCAAAAATACAAGTTTATTTTCCGATGTCCGAATTTAAACCTCCTCTGTTATTCTAGGTCTGATTCTGCCCAGTGGGGAGATCAACTGGAACTGCCCCTGCCTGGGTGGTATGGCCAGCGGTCCCTGTGGGACTGACTTTAAGGACGCCTTCTCCTGCTTCCACTACAGTAAGGAGGAGGTGAAGGGTTCTGACTGCCTGGAGCAGTTCAGGGCTATGCAGGAGTGTATGCAGCGTTACCCAGAGCTCTACCCACAAGAAGATGAAAAATCCTCCAGCAAGACCTCACAAGACTCAGAAGCTGAAGCATCAGGTGCAAACTCAACATCTGCCTCTGAGCAGGACTCTAACACCTCACAGCCCGACACAGAGAGCTCAGCGGAAAGCTAATAATGAGTCATAGTGTGTAGAGTGCGTTCACATGTAGTCATCCCTTTATGGAACCGAAATATTGTCGATATATTTTTTAAATCATTGCCCATTTGTTTTTTAACTATTGAACATTAATAAATAAATGAAAAGGTATTTGGGGTAAGTAGCAGAAACATTTGTTTTGCTCCAAACTGCTGGAGTTTTGTGTCAGTGTGGAAGCTGGAAGACAAAAAAATTAGCACCATGACTTACAAACATGTTGTTTTATTATCAGTGCTATTGAAGAGTGTGTGGTTTATTTAGAAACCACTTTATTTGCTGCATTGAAGCAAATTCTCTGTGGAGACGGAGAACTCATGGTCACTATCGTGAAAGCAAAAAAATCTAAGCTTTTAATATTCCTCAAAGGAGAACACGGGTCATGTGGTTTAAAGAACAGATATTTATTCAGTAGCAGACAAAAACGTGCAGCTTTAAGCTTTAACTTAAACAGTTTACTCATGAATAACATGGGATCTAAGCAAAATCTGAAGTGTTTAAAGTAAACATGTCCCGCACTGCCTTTAGGTTCATTCAAAACCGTTTTGAATCATTTTCAAGTGTTTACAGGACCAAGCTTAGTACACTGACTGAGGTACATGGCGTTTATTTGTTTCTTCCTTTGTTTCAAGATAAATGGTGCTACTTGCTCATCCTGTGATTTACCACAACAAGGTCTGAGACTGTAAAGTAAGATTAGGTGTGGTATCTTCAGTCGTGCGTTTCCACTGTTGCCCTGTGTCCTGGACTGCATTTCTTCTGCTAAGTTATAACCAGACCTAAAACATTTACCTCAGCTGAGCCATTTGTGTGCAGCACCGGAGTGACTGAAGTGACTTAAAGCAGATATTGTTGAAAGTTTTATAATAAAACGTATTATACATGTGCGACTTCTGTAATATTATTTGTTTGAATTTCTATCTTCTTGGTTGACATTGAAAAAGAATGACTTTATACCGCAGTCAACAGTCTGCACATTTCAGGTTTACATCATCAACAAACGCAAACATGTTGACATCATCACACTCGTGAGCATCCAGCAGAGGGTAACTGTCTGGTGACCTTAACCCTTTTCGCTCTGGAGGTCCCTGTACTGGGAAACACATCGTATTTGTTACAGAAACACAGCCTCCTAAAAGGGGCCTCCAATGACTGAAATGGGTGGTAGCATTTGCTGTTCTTCTTACTTAATATATCAGATTTAACTCATTGTTATGAGGCTGGTATTTACTGTTTTGATTAGATTAGGTGGTAGTATTCTATTTTATTCTATTCTAAGTCAAAAGGTCTATTTTTGCTGGAGTGTTTTAGAGCTCACTTTGACCTGTTGAGAAGACTTATTGTAAGTGTCTCTGATCCATAGTACCAACCCTGTTTAGCTCACTATTACTGACTAAATTTGGGGATGTTTTTTTGGGGGGGGGGTTTTGTTTTTTTTAGGGGGAAATTGTTCTTTACTTCCATACAGTTGCTCCCTCTCCAAACAAAATGTTTCCACTCTGTCATAGTCTTGAATTAGCAATGATCACATTGGAAACTCTCCTCATCATGTGCTTTGTAAATCTACTTGTGTTCCCTGCACTATAAAGGTACAGTATTATATGAAAGGGATACTCTGGTCATTTAGTATTAGACTTGCAAGATTCATGTTAATAAAATGACTGGTCACAAAAGATTGGAGACTTTCAGCTCCTAGTATAGAGCACAACAACATCCAAAAATTATTTAGATTACACTTCCAATAATGTGCTTAATGCAATGATAGACAACCATGTCAGCTAAACTTAAGCAACAGCAGACTTTTGGCAGCTGTTTTGTTGTACGAGGTGAAAAGCGCTAAAACTAAGTTCTCTGCAAAACTAAGGAGTCGTATAAAATAATATTATCAATTAGGGCTGCCACAATGTCAAAGTTTCACTGTGTCATAATCGTGACCAAAGGAATTTGTGATAGCAATGTTCTAAAAATATCTATTATTTAAAAAAAAAAAAAAGCTATCAGATTCATCTTTAACTTCTTTACAGTTTATTTATTGTGTGTTGTGTCTTTTTTTGGCAAATTAATTCCACTCAAAATACAAGTGCAGGGAGATTAGGAGAAAGACGGTAGCCATAACTGTACTGTATGTTGTTACTTTTTTTTATTGTCAACCAAATAGTTGCTGGCACTTGATTATGTACAGTATTATGATATGTGTATGAATAACATCATATCCACATTTCCTTTAAAATATCACCAATATATTGTTGCACCCCTAATATCAATCCAGGACTTTGTGATCCTTATGCTTCTCAGACACAAAATAACTCAAAATAAACTCAAATGGTTTAGCATTTGAGCTTGCTCAATATTCTTATTTAAGATTTTAAATATTCAGCGTTCTGTGTAGCCGTGCACCTCTCTTACTGGATCTCTTGAGGCTGATTTTCACTTAGAAAAACAAACTACAGTGCAACACAATCAATCCTTCAGAGGGAAAAGAGCAGTTTTATCTTATATACATCTTATATACACAAGTATAAACAAGCGAGCAGCAGTCGATGTCGCATGTGTGCATTATCTTTGAAGGCTGACATTGTGTATATAGAGCACATATAAACATGCATTCAGTGTAGAGAACATCACTAAGGCATGCTATTCAGTTGTGTACTTTTTTTTTTACAGCGCTGGATTAGTTAAGAGCAACATTTATAGATCAGCAGGTGGAGGAGATACTCTAAGCACCAGTAGAGCTGAAACAGGAAACGATCTGATTCTATGTATTCTATATCTGCTGACCTGTTCAAGATTTTCACTGTGATAATGGTAGCGTTCTGGCACAAACTTTTTTTCCTTTTTAACTGAGTTACATGTCTGAGTTTTAGGGTCAGAGGTCTTTGTCAGTGTTTGTCCACTGAAGCATGTCCCGCTTCAAACTCTCTCATGGGATCAATAATTACCAAACAACCTTTTCAAGCCGCGGTGTACCATTGGTGGATCCTGAAGGCCAAAGACGGCCAAAAAAGCCAATAGGACAGTAAGGAGAAGAGTGGTTGCCCTCAAATGTCCACAAATACACAGCAAGGATTAGAGCTGCCTTCAGCCTGATCTTTGCGTCCAGGTTGCTGCTCGAGCGTGTGACAGAAAATACCCAACAGGATGTCTGATTTAAAGGAGCTATGCAGTGGTTTGCCCCTGAACCCTCTGCCTCCTAACAGAGGAAGAGATCCCAATGTACCACATGCACCTATTCGGACCCCCAACCTGACAGCAGAAGAGGAACGGGTGAGTGAATGTGCTGAAAATACATCTGCATACAGTTTTTTTTTTTTTATCACCTTTGTCAATCAATAATTTGTAAATCAGTGATCCAATTTCATCCTAAGATAGTTCTTGTTATACAGAGATGTGATTATTCAGTCAGCCTTTACATAAACTCGGAATACATTGAGGTATATAGGCCTCGTTAATGGTGTTGTTTAGTAAGAAAGTAAAAGATATAGGTATACAAATAAGAAGCTTGAATAACAATGAAAATAAAAATATGAAAAGTGACAACAGTTTGTAAGATAGTAAAAAAAATATGAATTAGAGCATTTAGAATTTAAGAAAACTGAATCAACTAAAATATCGACAGCTGGAAGTGAAATGAGATGAAATTAGGAACCTGAATTGCCCTAAAAATAAAAATTAGTCCAGCTTTGGATTTTTCTGAATGTTTTCCAGGTCAATAATAATATTAATTACGACTGCATTCCAACCTGTGTATTTCTTTACTTGCTGATCTGAGTGTTTTCCTGCCAAAATTAAGTTAAAATGCTTTCTGTGGAAAAATACTTAGAATGAAAGCAGTAGTTTATATCCAGATGTGTGGACCGCACTGAGCTAATTCATCAAAAAGACAAAGCAGACTTAGGACATCATCATGAAGTAATTTGCGATCTAAACAGGTTTTCAGCTCACTGTCACGTCTGACAGTTTCTCTATAATAAATGTGTCAGCTATTGGAGCACATCTGACATTATGCACCACTGTGTACTCTGTCTTATTTCGTCATCCCGACTCCAGTGCTGCCCTTTAAATTGATTATTTTCAAAGTGATTGCCCAAACTCAGAGCAAAGGCTTCAGTCAATAATTAAGAGAGATCCAGGGAGAGCTCTGACTGTTACATGAGAGGGGATAAGAATCAGTAAAACATCTACTCATGTCTGCCTGACTTCATTAAAACATTTATTTGGTTTCACTAACCTTCCATAAATGCCTGTTTCCTCTAGCTGGCACTGAGAAATGCCCTGCGTTATTTCCCTCCTTCCCACCATGCAACGCTGGCACCCGAGTTTGCTCAGGAGCTGCGGCAGTACGGGCACATATACATGTACCGCTTCTGTCCCATGTTACGTATGAGGTGAGGCACGTTGATAAGAAGCCAACACTGCTATCAATATTTGAATGTTAAAAAGACACATATTAACTTGTATGGAATCACAGGAGTGCCACAAAAAAAAAAAAACATCTGTTAAAAAAATAAGGAAATAAATGTGTAAATATAAAGAGGGGAAAATAAAAGACTAAAATAAAAAATATGGAAATATAAAGCTAAATTTTTGTCTTTGATTTTCCCTTTTTCCTTTGTTTATATTCCTTTTATTCCATTTTGTATTTGCTTTTTCCTTTTGCTTTTCCTTTTTGTCTTTGTCTTTTCCTTTTGTCATTGTTTTTTCCTTTTCTCATTGCATTTTCCATTTTGCCTTTTGTTTGTACTTGATCGACTGAGCTGTCAATTAGATGGCTTTGGGCAAGGCTTTCTGTTCAGGGTAAGTAATAGAATAGAATAGAATAGAATAGAATAGAATAGAATAGAATAGAATAGAATGAAACTTTATTGATCCCTTCGGTGTAAACCTCAAGGAAATTGTTGAGTAATGCCTGATTGCAGGATTCCTGCTTGGCGCGAGCTCCTAGCACAGCTGAAGGGAAGTGGCGTCACCTTGGTGCTGACAGGAAGTGCACACGCCTATGCAATTTGGCTGTGAAAGGCGGAAAATAAATATGGAATGAGTGGAGGAATTAAGGAGAGTTGTTTAACAAGAACTTTTTACAATTGCTCGGTATGTGGAAGAACATTTCTAGCCAAACTACATTTTAAGGATGGTAGAGGATGTCAGCAACAGTCTTGGGCAAATATCTGCGCTGACCAATACAGACATTAATCCGGTTGTGTGGCACAATGTCTGTTCTTTATTTCCTTATTTTTTAACAGATTTATTTTTATTATGGCACTCTTGTGATTCCATATTTTTAGGTTATAATCGCACACATTTGTTTATTAAAAAGTTCTACTAAAGCAGGATATTTTGAAGTTGGACAGTAAACTTTCAAAGGCAAGTGTCAGCAAATATGAGACTTACAGATACAACCATTAGTCACAACATTTAAACCATTTACAGGTGGAATAAGTAACATTGATCATCTTGTTACAATACCATGTTTTGGTGGAAAAACCTTGAGTCCTGGTGTTCATGCGGATGTGACTTGGGCATGTACCAGCCACCTAAACATTGTTGGACTGCAAAAACTGCTTGGAAACCCCAACCCAACTGAGCATCCATGGGAGGCACTAGAATAAATTAATGGATTCAACTCACAGGACCCAAAGGATTTGTTGCCAGGCCTGAAAGTTTAGAGCTGAGGACACGACATTTGGCAGGTGGTTTTATTGTTATGGCGGCGCAGTGTATATATGTCACAAGCCGGTCAAATACATTAACCTGTTGATTAATGACTCAGTAGATCCCAAGGATTAGACTCTGTGGAATTTACATGCATTCTGCTATCAGCTATCAAACCTGTGCTGTAGAAGATGTTCATTCTACATTGACTTTAAAGTCACTACTTATATGCTGCTATCTT